TTCAGAACCATGGTTAGACTGGTATGTTTTATGTACAACCAACCAACAATCAATTTATGAAATATATCAGGGTTGTACAAAGATTCTAAAACATTAAATGTACAGCAACAATAACAAAATTAGAAAGAAATTATACTTGGCAGTGTGATGGTAAACAGGCATCTTTCTAAACACCGTGCTGCTACTAAAAATGTAATTTCGATAAATGCCGTCAATTAAGTAATATACTCGTATTCACAAAATGAGTTGAATAGATCGAACACCTATTTGATAATAATGTAGACTATGAAATTTGGCAAATAAATCAAAATTAAAAGAAAACGATGAAGTATAAATAAATAAATTAAATTTCCAGATCATTTATATTAGAAATGCCATTGGATAATAAATCAAAACCAGTGTCGTGATAACGGTTACCGACGTGCGCGCACGTGTCATCGATCACGATCTATAGATCATTGATCTACACATTGACTAACATTAGCGCCATGATCAATAGCGGAACAAACTTAATCATGTTTTAATTCAGTTTGTCAAGCCGACATTTTGAAACATTCGTTTAATATATTACTATTATTTGACGGATTGATTGACATTTTTGGGTCAAGGCATTTTGAAGTTAAGGCTTATAGATTAAGGAGAACAAATATTTATGATATATGCCTGTAATACTATATTCGCATTGGAGATTTATGAATGGTTATTACTACAGCAAGTAAGTACTTACTTTGTATTTTACACCAAAAAGAAGAATATAGGAACGGAATATAGGAATTCTTTTTGATGAGTCCGACGAATGGGTCTAAGTACATACCGTAAGAGAGTCCGGCTGCGGCGTAAATAGGATGACTCCACCGGAATAATACCAGAGTCTCAAATAGAGGTTTACACCGAGTGGATGAGATTACTGATGCTTCAAACCCAGGTCCTGATCTGATCTGATCCTGATTGCTAAGCTAGAGGTCTTGGGTCTCGATTCTCACCCAGGACAAATAATTGTGTGATGATCAGGATCATTTGTTTTGTGTGTACGTATAATTTATGTATAAAATGTATGTGTTTAGTATGTTTATCAGTAGTCTGGTTACCAAAGTACAATCTCTGCCTAGTTTGGAATCAGACAACCGTGTGTGAGATGTTTAAGGTTATTATTATTACTTGCACATATGAAAACATTTCATTAAAATAGTTACCACTTTTGGAATAACATAACATGTTGGTTCTTGTATCAAAGGTGACCCAGAAACACTTCGACTATGATTCATTAAAATGATTGATTCCATTAAGTTTCATAGAATCCAGTCCATTCATGTTCATTTAGAAATGATATCAGTTAGTCACGGTTTTAATTCATGAACATTATGTAGAGGCCGATATGTACAAGTTAGAATGGTGAAATCTATTAAAGAAAGTTTTGTTACTAGTTACTTTCTTATGATTGAAATTTAATTAATTTTTATTATCAGTTACTTAATTGGATTTTATTCAGACACTTATTCTGTCGATACAACACAAAGCCAATGTTCATTACATAAATGAGGTGTAGGTTTATAATACGTAATAATTTATAATTTATTTATAATTTTAATTAATTTAAGAAGAAGAAAGAGAAAGAAAGTTGAATAAGTGAGAGGCAAGGAACCGCGCTGTTAGGGTTTTTTACAAACCATTCTGTTAGGAGTACGAATAATTCGTTTATATTGTTTACGCTTTAGAACATATAATGTAGGTAACATAAAATAATACTCCGTAGGTGACTTTTGATTTGTAGAAAATAGAAAAGAAAACCTCATCCATGCCCATCTGATCTCAGACCAGACAGAGCCTGTACTATATGCGCTTAACCAGATTGCTGAGAAACATACTTTTACTTTCTAAATTTTTGAGTATTATAGGTAAACTACTACTACTATATAGCATATATAATTGTTATAGAAATCAATCAAATAACCTCTGGTCTAGCTGTTTAGGCTGGCCAGCATCACTAACATCTGGCCAGCCGCGAGGAGGCGACGTCAGCTTGTGCCGGACGTAACCTAAATAGAGAATTTACCTGAAGGTGGTGTATTCGCCGTTGCGGGCAGGCGCTAGGAAGGGTCCAGATGTCTTGAAAACAGCAGCTTCTGAATCCCTCCTATTACAGGCGCACAGTTGCACACCGTGTGGTTTTAGTCGGTCCGATTCCGACATACCACCCGACGTAAACCCCTGTGGGGTTACGGCCGGAGTAGGTTTTCACACGAATAAAAAAAGCATCACCAACAACTATGTATATCAGCAGGCTTGTCATCAAACTGTTAAATAAACTTAACTTGGCAGCAAAAATAATTAATCCGTTTATAAATTAATCTCTATATCGATGCAAAAGCTTGTAATCCAAGAAAATGTATAATCTTGATGACCTTAATTCTTGACAAATTTTATGAGTCAAATATTGATTTCTTTAAATTTGATCACGTAATTTTAGATTATTTTAAATTTACAAAGGAAATAATAGATAAGCGGTTTAGTTAACTCATCTGTTTATTTTAGGGATGTCGGAAAGACGACCTTACACACCGGTATTAGGACACCCCTTTCTGCTCTACACCTATTATTTTGTACCAAAAAACTATAAACCCATAAGGGTATTCCGTAGAAAAGTGTTTAAATCAGATCAAGACTACACAGACAGTTGTCAGTTGACTTATGTTCAAATCTTTTTTTCCATTGGTATTTAAACAACTCCATCAACTTTTATACAATATATATGAACATGACTCTTTCAACCAGCATTCTGCACTGTATTAAATACCAATAAAAATATTTTACCAAAACATTAAACGATAAAAGCTCACTCGAATCACTAATTACGGTACGTTCAAGAACTGTTATATCCGCGGAGTACTTTGTCAATAATTTACAGATAATTGCTTTTTTGGCAATATTTAAAATGTAAGCCCTGAAGCCAATGATAATTAAACGGTTTATTTGGCTTCAGATTTGGATGATTATTATCGTTATATATTCAAAAACAACAATCAGCTCTGAGATAATAAAATAGCTGAGGCATATCATCAAGGAATTGCAGGGTTTAATCACACCAATGCACAAGTTGGAACTAAAATAATACAATAGAAAAGAATTAAAGGCCGAGAATGAAAGCGTCGAATAAGTGAATTGGTTCATTTTTCTTGAAAGTATGACCATATTAAAGCATGATAAAACAATTAAAGAAGAGTTTTATAACGGCGTCAATCTTAAGTGAAAATTCAGAACATGTCAATCCACGTTAGCACAGAGTTAGTGTTAGCTATAGCAGAAGGCGCATGTAAGTAAAATTAATGCTTTGGAAATGCGCTCACAAAAAACTACTTTAGATGAGGAATTATTGGGAAACAAGCTGTTTAAAAAGTATATTGAAAGAAGATCATTTGGACATCTCGTAAGCATCAGTGAAGGGCTGAAATAATATGTAAGGATCTTATAATAAGTAGGCGAATCAAAGCAGTTAGATTCCGAAAGACTTATACTGTCCAAGGCGGCAGTATACTAAAAAGAGAATATTAAAACTTTCATAAATTACAAGCGTATACAAAAAGTCTAATGGATTTGGAAAGTGCAATCTATATACTCATTCCTGATTTTAGTGAATAGCGCTCTGTCGACTCTGCCTACCGTGAACGGGAGACCTTTAATGTAGTTATTTTTCGATGTGAACCATTTTTAGTTGGAGGAGACATATATATCAGATAACCCATAGAAAATTATATTGGTAGTTAAAACAAAATAAACTTTAATGCAAAATCTGCCATTAAAATCAAGAGTAACGATATATGATATTTAGGTTGAGATTACAAATAAATCTATAGCATCTTACCTAAATATAACAGTACTATAACAGTTATGTATGTCCGCTACAAATGTCGATGTGAAATAATCTGATTGCACAATTTAACAACATAATTAATTAATATTTGTCATGTTATAGCGACAGGACTTAGTCTTATCTTTATTGCCTCAATAAAATTTGCATTATTGACATCTATTTATTTTATCGAATTCTTTCCAATTTATTATCCATAATATAGCTAATTAATCGTTTATTTAATAGCGTGTGCAATTCACAATGACTTTGAAACAAAACAATTAGTTTGAAAAAAAGTAATAATGCGACTTCATTATGATAAAGTAGCTTTGCCCGTGGCTCTATCGGTTATCGCTGTTAAAGATAGCTTATGTCCTTCCTCAAGAATCAAAATATCTCCATCCCAAATTTCATCTAAATCGGTTTAGCATTTATTGATTTCCCATACAAAATTCCACCTACCCTTTCACTCTCTTAAAAAACGATTTCTGGGATAAAAACTATTATATGACTCTTTCCCGGTACTCTAAATATCTCTATACCAAATTTCATCCAAATGGGTTCAGCGATTTAAGCGTAAAGACAGACAGACAGACGCATTTACAATTTATTAGCATGGATTGTAATAAACCTTAATCTTCATTTTCCGCCTTTAGTGATAGTATTTTTTTCTTGGAATTTGAATAAGTCCAAACGGATGATATACTCGCCCAAACAAAAAAATCTGAATCGATTAATTAATGACGGGCTAATGAAGAAATAACCGTAAAAAAATACAACCAAATTGAGAAACAACTTTTTCACATTATAATCATAACATCAACAGCCTTTAACAGTCCACTGCTGGACATAGGCCTCTCCTTAGAAAGGAGGGTTTGGCCTTTTATACTAAGCTGGCCAGACGGGTCGGTATAGGGTTTGGTTCAAGTTTAACTTCTCTCTTTGTCGTCGTAGTTACTCTCTTAGTCGTCTCTTACGACACCCACGGAATCAATAGGAGTGCTGACACTCCGTATTCTTAATCCGTCACCACGCAGTCATTTTATATTTTAAAATAATATCAAATCTATGATATGCTTTTAAAAGATGTGCAGAGATATAGAAAAGAACAAAAGATCCGGATGCAGATAGAGTAAAAAGGAAAGGTACTTACCGATAGCTAAAAGTGTGACAGCAGGCAATATGTGTGTCTTGGTCTTCATTTTGCTATATTTCACTTAACACAATTGGTACTTTAAGTTTCTGACGATAACTGTATTACATTCACTTAGCACTAAAGTCAATCGTCCATTGTGTTGGGAGTCTGGAACAAGAAGAAATGACAACTGTTATATTAAAAAATGTTAAAAGTTAAGCTTGCATGCAAAGAAAAACAAATGAAAACCTTATAATCATTAACCACTCCAATGTTTTACATTATCTTTCTTTTTTACGAGAATTCATGTAATTAATGAACAATACAAATGGCTGCCTAATCGCTAAAAAGTACACATTCATATTATTGTTACTTTTAAATCATATTCTTTTGAGGTAATGATTGGTTATGATCACTGTGATTTCAGCTGTGATAAACCACTACTTAGATTATGTCATTGACAAAGATAAAAGGCATCAAAATCAATCAAACCGTTTTTTTCTAGATTTAGACCTTACGCGAGTCTGGCTCTAGCGTAATAATAATAATAAGTTACAGTGATGTTGTAGATAAGTCACAGGTGTGTTAAAAAACAATTTAAATCATATGATTCATCACAGGTGATTGTGATTTTATTCTATGCCTACTAAAAAGCAATTAGCCTTTGGATGGACAAATCGACTGTAAATAGACGAATTCATGGGTAGTTTTGATGTGAAAAAGTGTAAAAGTATCATAAAATGTTTTTCACAGCGTTTATGTTTTTATTTCTTATTATTTTCCAAGTTTTCGACTAGTGATTCGTTGCTGAGTTGAATTGATCATTGTTTCATACAGAAAATAGCTGCAAACACATTGAATTTCATCGAAAGGTTATCTTATGACTGATATCTATGGTTGTAGGCAATTCGAGGCAAATTACCAGGCAAAACACAATTCGAGTTATAGTCATATAACCTTAAGTGTCTCGAGCTATTGCTTTAATTCCCTAATCCATCCTTATAATAAATAGCTCTGAATCCCAGAACATCGCTATCCTTTCATTATTTCCCCAATTTACCCATTCAACTCTTAAAGTGTCGGCAAAACTTTTCCTGTAATACCTAAGTGGGAGTATAGTCCGCAAAATGTGGGTGTTTTGATACATCTCTGTCTGTCTACCGATATAAGCTTACATGTATATAAATATGTTCAGTTTATAAATTTTAAGATAAAACGGACTGTTTACAAGTTTCTATGTCAACATAGTGGCGCCGCAGCTTAAAACTTGAGTCTGCAACTACCATAAAGATAAGTACTTTCAATAAACTCATGTGTGTACTTAATAGTTGCTTCACTGATAAACTTAAATTGCTTAGGATATGTGCAAACAACCGCTTTTCATACTTAGCACAATGTTTAACGTAAGTGTGTACCTATAACTTTCATTGTTGAGTGTTTAATAAGTTTTATATAGCAACAATAATCTCTAGCCGAAAAATATGTACCAAAGAGATTGGTTATACTATCAATTTTAAATCCTGTGACTTATATTAAACTGATAAATATATTAATAAAGGTTTTCAATCAATCATTAAAGTATCTCTATTGATTTTTATTTAGGAGGCTTTGGTCAGGTCATTACCTATAAATGAAGAATTATGAAAACTTGGTAAGGCAAAGGAAATAAGCGAGGACAAAGATGACACGATGAGCATAATTAGGACATACGTTACAAAGGCACACTGTGATTGTAAGGAGAAATACAAGCGAAACTATTACTAAGCCGAGCGTAAAAAGATGGGTCCTGATGAGCTAGAAACGATAGATCTTGTTACTCAATCAATTTTTTTTAACTAATTAATTAATTCGAAACAAATATCTATGTGGATGTTGGCAGTTCTTATTCTTTCTCATTCTCTATCTATCTTTTCTCATTGTAAGTCTCTAAATCTTCCAATGGAGGTAAGTTATCTTAGTGCATTGCACGGATGGCGTAGTGGTTTAAGCGGTCGCCAAGCCGCTCACTACTACCCTGAGTATTGTGGGTGCGATCCCCACATTCGACGACACTTTGTGTGTGATCCACAAATTGTTGTTCCGAGTCTAGGTGTTCTTGGTGAACGTTTCATGTATGTTTGTAAAGTTCCCCGCGACATAGGTTATATTCCTAAAGCGGGAGTTGTCTTTAAAAAAAATAGTTGTCATCGGTGACTTGCCTGCTGACTATCGAGAATTGGTCAGGACGATTAAGACCATATTAGTTTAGTCATTGTAGCTACGAAACCCTTATATGAAATATCTTTAATCCTCTACTGTAACTTGAATATTCTGAGTATCCACTAATGCAATATACTGGACTCTTCTGCCATGTAACACCTATAGCTTATATCCGAGTTTAAGTTGAACTATATTTCGCCTAACACATATTTATTCTAGTAAATAACTTTGCTAGTCATATGAAACCTAACAATTCCAGTACTTCGCAATCTTTTAAATGAATAAACTTATGGCGACTTTTCCTGAGTATAAATTATACCATAATAAGCGAAACGAATTTGCGAATGCAAGTGTTTAGTACGCTCATTAAACATAGCTATAAATATAGTAATATAAATATAACTATGGTGTATCCATTACATAATTATATTTCAATCAGTTTTAATCAGAATTGTTTTCTTTTAAGTTTTACGAAAAGATGAGATGGCTGGCAGGAGCTGGATGCGAGAAGCGCAAAATCGATCTACTCGTAAGTGGCGTGCGCGTGATGATGGTAAAGTTTTATGTAAATATACCTAACATTCCTTTTATATTAAAAAAAGACGCAATAGTGTGTACCAATTTTATAAGTACCTTCAAGTTAAGAGTCTATTGTATGAAATACAATTTAAGGAATTCAGCAACATTTTATGCGCCATACTATTTCTGGAAACGTTTATTTATTCACGCGCCTCTAAACCTTACGACATTAAAGGCAGACTTTCTAGTAATTCACGGCGCCTTTTCCATAGAACTCACGATTGCATTTCGTATTTAATACCGTTTAGTACACTGTTCCAAAGCTCTCGTATTTTGCTGTTGGCTTACTTTCCCCGCTTACAAAGACACTGAATGTGTTCTGACTATCTAAAGGTCATATAAAGGCCTACAGGACGTAACATTGTGAATAGAAATGCCACTTAAAAGCATAAAGTGTATATTGCGGCTACGTAAATGACTTATGGAATTTTACTACATCACGAAGCGCATTTATAAAGGACAGAAACACAGAAGTTTAAAAGTTCATGCTTTTATTTGGGGCTCTTATCAGATTTATGGGATTTTTAATTGCCTGGTGATATCTTATCTTCTTGGAATTTGTAAAGTGAGTAATTACAAATCGGTACTTTTATGTTGAAGCGGTAAATTTATGCTAATTCAGTGGTTTGCTATTCCCGTTAAGTGCAAAATGGATGGATGAATGTTTGACTGCACGGATGGCGTAGTGGTTTAAGCGGTCACTTCGCCGCTTAGTGTTGTGGGTTGGATCCCTGCATGGAACAACTCTTTGTGTGATCCACAAATTGTTGTTCTGAGTCTGGGTGTTCTTTGTGTCCGTTTCATGTATGTTTGTAAAGTCCCCCGCGACACAGGATGATTATATTCCTAATGCAGGGGGTTGTCTTAAAAAAACACTAGCAATGGTAAGGTTTTTATCCCTTATAACATCCCCTGCAACACTTTTTTCTTATGTCTTTTTTGTAACCATAAGAAAGTATATGCCCTTTGAATTAATGGTTAACGCTTTACGATTTTAAGCATAACTAACTCACATCTGCGTTTTTAAATATTTAGTAAGGATATTTTTTTTGGATAATACCTATGTATTACCTATTTAACTATAGTACAACACATTATTTATTTAATTATTAATCATGCTTAAACAAATGGAATATACGATATAAATCGATTACAGTTGCATTTTACTCTTAATACGGTTATTACGTATTTTTATAAAACTCCACACTCAAAAAATGATCGACTGTAAATTTAAAAATAATAATTAAAGAAAAAGTTTACATCTGACACACAACGCCATCTAGTTTCTAAATAGGCAGAGCTTGTAGAATACGTATATACTTTTTTTGTAAATACATACATATTGTACATAGAAAACACTCCGAAGCAAATATTTGCAGATCATACAAACATGTGTTCCTACCCGGAAGTCGAACGTGAGACCTCAGCACATCAGTCGCATACGCTACCACTGCACCACCGAGGCAGCCTAATGATAAAAAAAACTAATAACCATTTAAAATTTAAAAAAAAACTGTTTGAAAAAATGAGTCATTTTATATGCGCAGTAGCAGCCCTGTTGTTCGTCAGTATGTCACTCGGTCGGTTGCATTAATCCCGGCTTAAATACCGTTTCTTCTCAGAACATACCTTTGAGATGTACCGGTCTTGTAGGCTTTGTTATTCTAGTAAAGCTTTGGTCTTGTTGTGGGTTGCTATTTATAAGCCCTAGCTTCTTGACCTTTACAGATAACATATTCAAACCGTAATTGTTTTGACAATCTTAGGTTGTGATAAATTAACTTGGAACTTATAGCTTTTACTGTGTAGAGCCTTTTAGTATTCTTATAATTAGCCAATTCATCTAAGATATTTTTTTAAATTAAAAGTCGGGTTATATCGTAGTGCACTTTTAGTGTCAATAATATCAATAACTAGCTTTTGAAAGCAGCTCCGCCCGCGTAAATGTCGATTATCGCGGTAAAAAGTAGTGTCTATTCTCAAGAATCGAAGTATCTTCATACCAAATTTCATCTAAATCGGTTCAGCAGTTTAAGCGTGATGAGGTAACAGACAGACAGACACACTTTCGCATTTAAAATATTAATATGGATGGTTACGACATGGTCAAAGTATAGATTTTGTTATATCACTTGGTAACGTGCAATTTGGTGATAGAAGTAAAATATTTAAACTTAGGTAACAGAAAATAGAATCGCCTAAAATGATGGCCAATAATATATATGGTATTTATACCAATATAGTAGGCCAAAACCTCCTTTCTAAGGAGAGGCCTATGTCCAGCAGTGG